GCCAGCTGGCTGCAATATTCTTGCTCACGGTCCGGCCTCATTAGCGATGCAGCAGAGCACTCTTTGTTTACTTGTCCGTTCTGGCTGTTGCTGTTGCTCCAAGATGCTCTTTTGTTTAGGCTTCTTCTGCTACTCGATATAAATGGTCATATTTATTCCTTCTAAGTTCTCCCGTACTCTAGTGTTTCCCCGGTCCGCTGAATAGATTTTGAGTGGTACAATAGTTCAGTATTAAATGTTCCGTCGATAGTCGTCTCAGCCAACACGTCCGACAACAATCATCCGTCTCTTTCCAGTTGGACTGCAAACTAGATATCCCGGATGTGTCTTTAAGCAGTCTGTGCGTGCTTTGTTGGGATTCGTTTGATGATATCCACCTGTAGGTTCCAAGGCCTTGGGTTTACCTTTGGTATTGTTATGTGCTCGAGGTTCTTTACTGCTGCTTCTGCAATTAGGACTGACATTAGGAATCCTACTGATGTTCCTTCTAGATTTTGGCGTGCTTGCCAATCGAAGTTTAGTTATGTGTTCATACACGGGTTCAATAATCTCCTTATGGATCCTGGTTACAAGTTCCCTGTTGTCTTGGACTGATCCTGAAGCAGCCTCTTTATGGCTTTCTTAAAGAGTTTGCGGTCAATCAATGTAAACGGGACATGACGTCCAATAAAAGCACGATTCAATCGTCATATAGTTTGGTATTCCGCAGTTTGTCACGGAAATGTCATAAATGTTAATGTTGTTTTCAGATCCAGTTACTGGCACAAGAATACCTAGATGGTCACTCACGACACAGAGTGGCATTCAAAATTAATGAAGCTTCCATATTTCTGCTAGTCACCTAAAGTCTGAAGTATCCCGCACTTCCTCCACATCTCCTTCCTCCTTGAGGCTCACAGATGATGGGGAAATTGACTTAGAGGTTCCAGACAAGGAGTGACCAACAGAAGTTTAAAAGTATCGTTAGTGTGCTAAATTGTATAGTATCGTGTCAACAAACACAGATTATGAATATATCCACTGGGTAACTTAAATCAGACTTGCAGTGCCCGGCCGGCAAGCTGGTTCTTTTTTCACACCAGACTCAGTATACCGAACGGCCACAAATTTATTCTACACTGATATGGAAATCAAGGTGGATAGGCACACCGGACCTCCGGCGATGCAGTCGAATTTGAAACTGGTCGCCCATGGATTGTCAGCTCACCTAAAAAAGGAAAATTTGCCTGAGTGAATTGCGGCGTTTTGTATTCAAACACAGCTAACAGGGCTGCGATACGTAACAAATCTAACCCGAATGTGAGCAGTAAATGTCAGTGAGTGCTATTATTCCCCGAAAGGTATGAGCCTACAACGAAGTATTCACAGGGGATGTGAGACTGTTAAATAACAATGTACAAGTTACCCTCATTCATTTTTTTATAATCGGTGGGAGGGATTGCATAGTGGAGATGAACTATTTGCAAAACACTATGCTGGATGACCCTACATCCTAAGACAAACGCAGAGAAACTCAGACCGATCAATATGGAGTGAATTTTGAAGTAGTGAAACGCGTAACAAACGAAGTATGAAAAGTGTTCTACGCCGTGAGCGAAAAATAACGGCAAAAGTGTGTCCGCTGGACGTACAAATATATCATTGAGTGCGGGTTCTCAGACGGAATGTTGGCAATTTTTTGTCATTTAGTGGACTAAGTTATATAAAACTACAGTTAGAGCTGTAGGAAATGCACACAGAAAATAAATGACAGGAGAATTTCATTATATTTTGTTTACATAACTCCCCCTCTATTTTTTGAGACATCCAATTATACTTGGAAATATATACTTCCGGTATATGGAGATCTTAGCCTATACGGGTTTACAAATGTTTCTTTTTATCGGGTTGTTCTCGCACCAAAAAGTAAAAAGCTGAGAGCCACCAGCTAAAATAAGGTAGTTTATCCTGGCGCGCACACACAGGGAGAAATTTCGGGAAAAGATACTTGTGAAGGATGAAACAGGCGGGTGCAGTCCGTTTCGGACTTCGCACAAGCGCACTGAAGCCCCTATGAGAAGGTCAAGTAAAAGCAAAATCCCAGGAGAATAGGTAAAGTTCCCAACACATCTGATGTTGCGGTCTTCGGGAGACAGAACAATAATAAGGTTTTGTGACAACTGGACAAATGAGTCCAGTTTACTGTAGGGAAAATGAGTGCATACTGATACCCATAATTGTCTTCTCTAGGAAACTAGTGTATGACTTCAGCAAGATATCCAGATTGGGAGCGTCACGAAAGCAAGAGAAAAATGTCACTCACGAGCAGTTTCACGAGCCAAACTGCAGCAGAGGCCAAAATGTCTAGTCACTGACATATTTCACAAGCCTTTCGCGTCGACGGCCTGACGGTTCTAGGTTCAGTGGATGATTTGAAAAGATTACAAAACGGCAGCAATATAGATAGAGCAAGATGACTGTTCTCCCAAGTTTGCATATTGTGAAATAGAGTCACCGAGGACTGAGTGGTAGCTTTCTACTCAGGAGTAAAACCTCCGGTGAAGTGATGGTGATGAAAGCGGGGACCACCGCAGTCGAAACGAAAGGTCACCAGGTCAATAGAAATGGTTGAACAAGATTGAAAACACACTTTAACTATTTATGATAGGAGTTCATGGAGGAAAAACGAGGTTACGCATTCTACGAATACAGACCAAAATACAACATTTACTCTCAAACGGAATCCGGTTATTCTAGTCGACGAAGCAGATACCATCCATCCTCATTCGCACATGTACGGCCACGTCTATTTTCTCAGTTTTGTAGACGTGAACGTTCTCCCTTCGTAAATAGGTGGGCTCTCAGGAACTGAGCTCACTGAATTGTATATCGCCTGTTACTAATTCAATATCACGATTACTCACTAGAGAGGTAAGTTGTAGCTGAATAAATGTCTTTCATCAGTAATGGTGTCCTCCAAAAATGGTCCACATTTGACAGCCATCAAAGTCTTCTTTCACATGTTATCAAATGGTGTTCGTAGGTAATCGAAATAACAAAAAAAACATGATAGTCTGAGGGTGAAGACGGACGACTTGGTCTGATTGTGATCGATAGATGCAATTTCCGTTTGGTGGTTCTATCAACTTCTGCAAGTTCACAAATGCCATGTTGTTTGCTTGTGCTCTTGAAGTAATCCGATATTAAACAAAGGGGGTATTGAATATCATAAAGAAAAATTGTTGAGGATGTCGCACAAACACCTGATAAAAGGTTTCCATGTCGCCACCCGGTCAAACGAAAGAATTTGTTAGGAGAAAGATTTTAAAGCCCAGGAAAACAGGTAGACTTGAACTACAACCTGAAACGCCATGTGTTCAAAATTTTGTTCCACAAAACCAGCGGGGGAAATCTGAAAGTCGACAAGTTTAAGAAGTATATGTTACAACTTTTGCCTTGTCCTTTACCGCTGCTTTTCTGAATTGTAACGAACACTGGTTTCAGCAGTCGTGGCTCTGGTGAACAGACTTATGGGACATGATCCCAGAAGATTCAGTGGAATAAAAAAAGACCTACTTCAACACTTTGGACTCTGTGAAAACAGGGCAATCAACCTCAAAATGTCTACCTTTTGAGCTGCGTTTGAAATGGCCTTTGTGAGACAGGCAGAGCATACATTTGATTGTAAGGTGAAAATGACACCTGTTAGAGCTACGAGCTTACCTAACCCAGGTTTTCTAATCCCTTCCGACAGATCGTCTCGTCTCACACATCCCAAACACAAACCAGCGCCAGTGAAATAACTTGCGAATTGCACGATCCAGTTATGTTTAAACTCTGGTGCATGAGAACCAGTGTGTCAACCGGTTATTGCATTATAAGATAGTGAAAATCCCACAGCACTTATAGATTGTTTAAAATGCTTGCGACTACCAGGAAGGGTCACTAGGAAGCCGTTGAAAATTCATGGGTAAGAGCTAGAGTCAAACATGACTGACGCTTTGTGTAATTGTCTGATGAGGAATAAGACCGAATGCCCGAAGAAACCATTATGAATTGCACTTGGCACCTGAAGTATAACGAATGCCATAGCGTTGCCAGAAAATCAGCTTGTTAAATGTGTGCATCAAACGAAAATCGGGAGAAAATGAAATCAGTCAAGTAAAACGATATTTATTTAGAACGTTTAAGAGTAGTTCAGAGACAACCCGACTGACAATGTTTCATCTGACTTTGGTTGATCGGAACTACAGGATCATTTTATTTCGAACCTACTCACGAAAGTTCGACAGTTTCTTATCATACCAGCAAGGTTAGTTTGGGCCATTTGTATCAAGCAGCTTTAAGATTTACTCGGATATAACTGTCGTTCGTTCAAAATGCGCATCATAATTTACATGCCCAGTAAAAACACAGACGAAGTGACTAATTCGATGAAAACTACCAAATTATATCGAAACGTAGTTTATAACAGGTGGATAGAAATTCAAACCCGTCGCTCCATAATCCAGTAAACTTAGTATTCACATGAAGTCACGGAAACAAGTGAAGCACAGTTGCTCCAGTTTAAGTCCCAGCTACCGTAACCAGGGCAAACCCGAGGGACGATTCGCAATCGGCCGTCCGATAAACCCATGTGACTAGTCATTGGTACAGACCAGACACACCGTGCGGCCCTGCCGACAGACACGACCTCATGTATGCATTCGTCTTCTAGTCCATTCGATAGTTAGGTTGAAGTAATCGATTGGACAGTCGAAATGTCTGGGGTGACAGGACCGCAAGCCTTTGCACACGCTGCACACCGCACATCGTCCCACCTTCCTTTCACAAACCTAGCTGTTCTGGGAAAGTCGTACTGTTCAGCAGTGAACGGGCAAACGGACAGCGCAACACCATTGGTTAGACATGAGGTTCGTCATCAGGTTACGCTGGTTGTATCACATCCGTTAGCGCACAAGGGGGGTAGGGATAGGCGTAAAAAATCCATGCTGTTTTGGGGAAATTGTGCCTCGCTACGTACGCAATAGATGTGTAGCGTGCTACTTCACTGTGTGATCGACTGACCAGCTGTGAAAAACACTTTCGGTCACGGATGGATCACTGATCCTCCGGAAATTCATCAGGAAACTAACGGTCTTCAGGAGTGCATCCAAGTGGAAGGGCACAGACTAATTCGAAGTTCGCAAAGCTCGCTGGCTCAAACTTGCGGACAACCTACTGGGACATTCTTCCACTTGGAATATCAATCCATAACTCTCCATTAATTTCATCACCTGAGACCAACCAAACTTGCATATATTAGATGGCGGCGGTTCAGATGGAGGATTTGGATCGATCAATGGGCCTGGGCCGCGGTATGTATAGGTCAAGCTCACCGGCGACAACAAGGCTAGAGGTGAGTCTGTAAAAGGTGTCCGCGCAATCGCTCTGCCAGAATAAGTATGGGCTTTGTTCCCATGCTATCACAAAATCCGGAGGCTCAAATATCCACTTAGTATGCCAGGTTAAAACAACACGACCTGAAGTTGATCAGCATATTGCAAACATACTAAACGACTTTATTCAGCTTTCAAAACTTAAAACTCACCTTTAACTACTGACACGTTAAAAATAGTACCGTCCAGTGTAAGCGATAATGTATCACACTTCTGTACCTCTGGAGAAACTCGTACTGATTAGAATTAGAACACAATTTAGATGAAGCGAAGTATTCATAAAGTTCATATAGTTCAAACCGGTGATAAAGCACTATACGCACCTCATTCTTTGCAACAACGTCTTGCAAAAGACACCTTTACACGGTATTTTAGTTTCTATCCGTTGATATTCAGTTTGCAAGCTTTTTATTTTTGTTCACAATTTGTTAGAGGAGAATGGTGATACCTGTGGAATTCATGGTAAAAAGAAAGTAGCAAACAAAGCCAGTCTTCTGAGCTTGGTCTTCCTGGTCACACATTTACATGCTACTCAGAAGGAATGATACATTTAGGGGTAAAGTGTTTAGAAAAATGGGGAAGAAAGAAGGGTCATTAGGTTATTGTCGAACAAGTTAGTGGGCCAACTTAAGTTTAAAGTTCGTGCATGTAGCTTTTGAGGACATGGTTGTGAGTCATGTGGCCGGATTTCGATAGCTCTACAACCATACACTTTGAAGCGCGTACCGGTTCAGGGGCACTAGGCTTACTACCTGAAAGGAGTTTTTGTTACCTGCGATCAGTTCCGGGAGTCACGACAGCTAATCGCCATTCAGGGACACCTTGTGTCCCGAGGTACCGCGCCATGTACGGTACACATACAGGAATGCGTATGCATGAAAGGTGGTGGTAGATCATCACAGTCTGTCTTTCAAACAGAGTCTGATATTGAGGCTGGGACTGAAACTGAGGGGGACATTAGCTGCTATGTACATCGTATTCATAGGATATGTTAGCTTTCTATAAACCATCTAAGCAACGGTGTCTCCACTGAATGACACGTTAGCGTAGGTAAGCTTTTCCTCACTTCAATGTTGTTTGGTTCTCGGCTTTGTAGACTGCGTTGCCTGAAGTTGGAATCGTTCTGCGTACATAAGTGTTCTAACCATTCTGGTTAGGAAGGAAATATCTTAACTGCTCCCTCAGTCTAGCATTCAATTAAATCTCACTTTTGTTGTTGGGACACAAAGCTCTCAAAATAAATATATGGCGGCCAGTCCACTTTGTTTTCTGTGAACATTACTCTGATAGTCTTGTAATCCCCCTAAACTGTGTTAACACAGAAAAGTTAGCTGTCTGTTTAGTCGAAGCTCAAGAGTGAACTTGAACTAAACTGAAAATGGGTGGCACACCATAAGAAAAAATATATTATCTACGAATTGGTCATATTCTGTATATATTCCAGTAAGTACACCTCGCTTCTGAGTTCCAGGTTGGCTGACGAAAGGGTCCGCCAGCTGGGAACCTAAAGGAAACTATATCACAACTCTACCTCTGGGAGGAAACATTTTTGAAATTAATAGCACCAGTGATTTATGATTGTTTATGCCATCGTAATATCACCCGGTTCTTGTCATTCTGATCTACCAGCTTCTTAAGTTTAGATTAGATCTATAGGGTGTTATTCAGTTTACCAGCATAGTCAGTTTTATCCACCAGGGCTATCCTTAATGCTCCATCAGACTCAGATAGTAGAGCTTGGTCATTTCTCCGTAAAGGTCTTAGGTCCCTGAAGTGTTGCTTTACAAAAGTTTTTGAGCCTATGTCTGTAATCTAGACAGTGGAAGGACGAATGGAATACGCTTGACTTGAGCTGTTCTACATTGATCTCTAAGCAAATAACTAGTTAAGAAACCTGAAAATGAATTTTTTAATCAAACGTCGTGCTGGAACAGAACAGTATTGCGACAGAAAGAAAACTTGGGGGCCAAGGGGCAATACATCGAATGGTACGTTACCTACTGTCAACGGCGAAAAATGCGGTATGTTCTCCTGGGCATCTATTCGCCTGCCGATAATGAATCGAACTCAAACTGCTTTTGACACCTCAATCGTATCAAGAATTATTACACTAGAACAAGTGAGATGCTGAAGCATCCGTTCACTGGGGATTGCAAGAAATTTATTTTTAACTCGACTCTATTTCGCCGTTACATAAGATTATTTCAGTATTTGGCGGTCTTGTATTGAACATGGTTTGTCAAAAATCCCACATAGTCAAAGTATTATTTCTGTGACTTCCACGATTTAAAACGGTGACTGATTGTTGACTACGGTGCCTAATAAAACAGAACAATGGTACCCGTGAAGTAGGTAGTGACTCGTGAGTTGATTGACAAACTGCGGGCAAAACAAGTAGAATGACTGCTTGATTATTTTACTTTTATGTATGTACCCTCAATGTACGTGATGTATACGAACACTCACGTATTATCCGTTGGGAATATTACATTTTGTTTAAGTCCCACAGGAGGGGAAATACACCGTTTCGTACTTTTCTGGGAGCACGATAAAACAGTCTGATTTCTTTGTACTCAAACCTGGAAAGAGTATTTGAAAAATGAAGCAGCGTCTTTGGCGGAATTTTAAACTTTTCAGTAGAAAAGTAATGGAATTAGGCACCAACTGAGAACGAGCTATTGGCGTTTTTGTTCGAAATAGGTTCCAGGCGGCATCGTTTGAGCAATAATTCAGTGATCGTTTCACTTCCAAGGCGATGCGTTGTGTTAGCATCCAGGATATCAGCGAATCAATAGCTACGGGCGATGCTGTGTATCTTGTGAAAGACATTCCTCGTCGTTGCTTAGAGGCCCGGATGGTCAGGGCTGTTTTTCAGCCAGGCTGTTAAGCCACTCTTTTTTAATGTGTAGTAGGCTCCTGAAAGCAAATTCAAACTTTGTAACAAGTTTCAAAACAATGGATGTGCAAGTTCTACTCATGCAAACTTTAATTTATAAGCTATTTGGTTTATCGCTTAGAAGCTACCTCTACTTTTATTTTGCTTACAGTCAGAGTAACTTGTTGCAATGCGGTCACCAACACCCAACGATTTTCTGTAAGGTCCTAGATAGATTGGGATTAGGCTCACATGTAAAACGTACGCGTTGATATACAGACGCTCATTTTACATCTTGTCACCCAGCTGATGTTTTACATGAGATATTTTGGTGCTTTGACATATGCTGATTCACCTTACTACTGAAACTCATTGATGGAATAATGTATACATGGTGTGCATACTCCGCCCCAAACCACAAAGTAGTATTGTTAGGATTAGTGCTCCTGATTTCCTTAGAGTTGCTTCTGTTTCGTAGCAAAAATTTCACTGTCGAACACAAGGTAAGCAATGTGATGTTTGTTGTCCCCAGCAAGCTTCTTTCAACTGCAGAACGCTCACGAAACCTGAACGTCCTGCAAGACCAGCGATGAATAGATGTCTTCAAAATACCTATGTGGAAACGTAATCATTTTGTTACCAGTCACCTTTAATCGGTGGCAAGAGTTGCGTAGTCCCGTGTTGAAAAATCTTGGCTTGATGCTATGGTTTCCCAAAAAGGGTTAGACAATTATGTGATGCATCTCCTCCTTTCCGTAAGAGATGTTATTAGGTTATGATCCCCGAAACCGTAATGTTGTGGAATATCGGTATCTTGAATGGATTTGTCACTTGCTGTTCTGTTAGCCGAGCAGTGTAGGTCCAAGATAACTTCGAAAACATGCATTTAAGGACACTGATGTACTGTACACTTGTGTGCAAAACAGGCTCGCAGTTGGAAAACAATTCACCACACTTTGAGGCGATATCACCAGTGCACAGAGGCTTAGAGAACGAGCCATCAGCTAATCATTTCACTACATACAAAAATGAACTTCACAAAATTATAAGAAGAAATATCCAAAACTGGTGGAGATACACGTGATTGTCGTAAGTGTCTGATGCTCAGTCCATTCGACAGTGTTTTACGATTGACACAATAGACGAATAACTTATCGTCAAAGAAACAGCTTCCGAAAAACACAAATATTCTCTTCACCATTTCTATGGACCTGCGATCCTCTACAGTTTGGGCAGAAGTTCGGTTGGCACACCGCAAATTCTGCAGGGCTCGATGATCTAGTTAATCACAACTTCTATTATTTCAATTAAGGTAGGCTTGTATATTGTTGCGTTTAACTCACTTGTAAAAAAAAACCTAGAGGAAAGAACACTGTGACCAATGGGAGGACACTCTTCGTTACAACGAATATTCGCTCCCCTGGGATAGAGCTAGTTACAGCCGATAATATTTGATGAACCGTGAAGACCTACATCGTATTGCTCAGCAATTTATCGAAATTGCCCTATTAAACCCCATGGGTAGACATTTTAGGGTCATCGTAGCCATGGGAAGTTGTGATCTAGCGTGGAAAATGCTAACAATAATTGTAGCATATAGAACAAGGAGAATCGTGATAATGATGAAGTTTAGCATCAATTGAACTAAAGTTACCTTTCAGAAATGGTGTTTTGGTATGATATTCCTTAGAGGGTTGACCAGTTTTCATTCGAGGACTGTCACTTTGTTTTTCAAAAGATCACGCAAGCTAGTGTGCGCACGCTAATATTTTCCTGCAGCGTCCTTAGGTTACCGGGTTTTAGGAAGTCATAAAATTACTGTGTGTAATGATCGCTGCGTGCACACTTATGCGATTCGCCTACGTTTACCAAAAGCCAATTAAAACCTACAGGATAAGAAAACTGGAGTTACCGAGACCAAACTTCGAAACAACCTTTAGCAATCTTGAAACACTAGCAGATCAGTTCTCATCCACTCGATCAGCTGATATTCTAGAAATTCCGATTATGTTCAGGAGAAAGATGTGCAGAAGATCGTGGTTTCCGAAAAGATCGTTCTGGAACTTTCCGATATGATACCGATTA